GTCCGTCTGGCATGCGCGCGTGTTCTCAAATATTGAGAGCCGCGCGCAGGCAAAGGACGTGGAGCGGCGGCATATTAGCCTCCAGCAGTGCGGATTCCGGGTCGACAGTGCTCGGAACTCCGCTGACAATGCGTGCCAGAGTTGCGTACGTCTTCTGCATCTCATTCTTCGCTGAATCCGTCGCTACTGCCCATATGAGCTCGCTGTCATAGCGTAATTTGGAGGCACCGTATCCAATGACGAACGTGCGTAGGTCATGTGGAGATGGTCCCGCCTCTTTGTGCGCTATGCGGCGTAGCTGCGATATCCGTTGCGAAGTGGCAGCGCATTGCTTGGTGGCCGCCACATTTAGCGTCAGTCGTGGATCGAGATCCATGCCGAGAAGCTTCGTAGTTCGCGATGCCCCCATGGTCATGACTGGGGTTTGACATCCAGCCACTACCAGGGGCCACTTTCCTTCACGATCATAATCGGACTCCGTGTGCGTGGATAGTGTGAACCAAGCAGCTTCACGCTTTGACGGGTTGATGGCCAGGCCATTTTCCTGACTCCACGCATGCAGCTTTTTAAGAACCATGTTGGCAGTGGGAATGGCGTCTTCCCGGGACTGCCCCTTAACGATAATAGAGAGGTCGTCCGCATACATGTCTGCTGCGACACCCGCAAAGCTGTTCAGCAGATTGAGAAGTGGGTGTACGTAAAGGGAGAACAAATACGGTCCCAGCACGGACCCCTGAGGAACTCCTCGCAGCGTGGAAGACCGATCGCTGTGTCTGTGGCCAACTCGTGTCTTCGCGTAGCGACCACATAGAAAGTTTCTAAGCCACCTTCTACAATCCACCCCCGGAATATTAGCCAGCAAGCGACTGAGGACTCGATGATCTATGGAGTCAAAGGCCTTGCTGAAATCAACCAGCACCAGCAGGGTCCGATGGGGTCTGTAGTGGAGTTGATTGCCAACACCGCTCTTCTTGGAAAGGTTCACTTGGAAATAGTGATTTCTATTATGCTCCACCTCGTGTATCAGGTGTGCCAGCTGCATCGTCGTAGTACGCACACTACGATATGCATACTGGTGGGGGTGTGCGTCCACACCCAAAGCAATCTCTTCAGTACCATTTTCTCAGCAACCCTACTCACAATGGAAGTAAGGCTGATGGGTCGATATGACTCAAGCAGTTCCGGCGACTTGCCGGGTTTTAAGAGTGGAACGATGGTAGCGCGTCCCCACTCAGCCGAGATCGTACCGGTCATCCAGCTGTGGTTAATGCAACGAAGAAGGAATCGGAGGCCCTTTGACGAAATATGTCGCAGTGCCTCACTGCAGACTTCATCCGGTCCGGGGCCTTGCCATACGGCGTATTACGTAGCGCAGCAAGCAGTTCCGTACGATTAAAAGGTGCATCAAGAGGGCAGTGACAAAACCCTGATGTAAATGTAGAGATAGACTCGTTGCTGTTCTGCTGCCCAAAAAGAAAAGAAGCATTAATGTTCAAAGATGCACTCTGTCTGTTGATGCCTTTGGAAGGCCTAACTGCCTTGTGAGAGGGGTGAAATGGAAAAAAGATGCGATTGAGAGCATTCGCTGCTCTCCTTGCTGTCTTGTAAGTGTGTTGACCACCTCCTAATAACATTGATGTGGGAGACGGAAGTGATGCCTTTTTTCGTCCGGAAACGTATTTCCATGCGAGTGGCTCGCCTGGATTTAACTTGCTGATGCGGCGTAGATACGTGTTGCGCAAGCGCTCTCGGAGTAGGAGGAAGAATTGACTCCTTGTCCGTTGCATTTCTGCCTCACGGTCGGGCGTCGGTAACTGTAGATAGCGGGCCTTGCTGTCAGTAGCAATCCGCTCTGCCTCCATGAGAGTGTCGTCCCAAAGCCTGGGACCGTCCTTGTGCATGCCGCGGGGGCAATGTCGTCGATACGAAGATATAAGCGCTCTCGTGAAAGCCCTAATGCCGGTGGACTGCTTCTTATAGTCATATGCCGGAAGTTGTGCGTCGAAGTCCTTGACGAATGAATCCCACTTGAACTTCCCCCAACTGTAGAAAAACTTAGGTGCCGAAGGTATGGTATCCTTAAATGCCTGATGCAGCGTAAATGTCAGCATATAATGATCACTAAGCGGCGACACGGAAGCTGACCAATCCGACACAGTCAAATGCTTTGACCATGTCAGATCGATACAGGATCGTTCTCCTGTGCCACGGGCATACGTGATCTCACCAGGGGTGTTAACCAAGGTGAGTCCCGCATCCGTGCACAGTTCTAGAAATTTCTGCAGCAACCTCGCTTGGAGAAGTCTCCAAGAATGGCTCCCACTGTGGGTGATGCATGTTGAAATCCCCGCACAGCAGGAGCGGCGACGAGGCTTGAAGGCAGTTTACTAACCGCCTGAAGGATTGCGTTACTTGCGGTGGTGGTCTCATATAGGCACTCGCTACAATAAGATCACGGTTCTTGTCCAGAGCAACCTGGACCACCACCACTTCATGGCTGGTGTCATGCTGGGGGATGGTGAGAGGTATGCGCTTGGAGCGGGGAGCTGTACGCACCAGCACCACCACACCGCCGCCCTTGCCGATGCGCGACTGTGCATAGAGCACATAATCTCCAGTGTGCAAGCTGGCGATCTGCTCCGACGACTTCCAAGTCTCCTGGATGGCTATTATGTCTGCTCCTTGCACCATTAATGTTGCGAGTTTTGACGGCGTGAGGCAAGAAACGTTCATCTGAAGTACTGCTATGGGGCCTGGGTGCTGCTCAATGTCTCCGCTTAGCAGTAGCTTTTGTTGTTGCGCGTCACATACGGCACGCAAAAGGTATGTATAGCGCTGATAAGTGCCGATGGAATTCAGCAGCGGATAGAAATACCGCTCCGCGGGCAGCCATGTAAATGGCTCCATCTGGTGCCCTTCCGACCCGTTTGTGCGGCGCCTTTCACCTCTCCGCGCGCAGCGGATGGGCAGCAGGTGCTTAGCTTCCTCTCTAGCAAAGAGTACTGCACCCTGGCACCACGTTGAGGTGGCCGGCTAACCCAGAGCGTTGTTGTAGTCTTATTGGTGGTACTATTTGGCATTTTGATCTTCTGACTTGATGTCGGTGCCTTATGATTCTCATCGCCTTGTGTATTTTACTGCTCCGTTTTATTTTGTGCATCTGACATACCGGTCGCACCTTGTGTGTGTGTGGAGACTGAGTTGCCAAACCTGCTGGCCCTGGATTATCGCTAGCCGAACTCAGTGACTCTGGCGGAACTCGTGTCTGTCCAGTGATGGCTGTGCCTGCTTCCTTTGGCAACGAAGGTCCTTGACTTCTCAAACCCTCCTCGCTGTCTCTCCCACTCTCTGTCTGTGGCACACCGGTCTCCACACCATATGGTTGTAATGCACCAGGCATATTTTTGTAGGATCCGGTTTCCCTAGCTCGGGGCTGGGAGGACGGCTGTTATCATTATTATCGTCTCCCGTCGCCGTCACGCACACGGACGAGCAGCCGCAGCACAAGAGCGCAAGGGCCAACACGGCGCCGCACCGTCACCATCGCAGTCATCGTCACCCGTAGTGGAGTCGCTGGTGTCAGTCAGCCGATCGGTGAGCCAGAAGGAAAGAATGGAACGAGAGGGAGAGGGACGGAGCACCGCGGATACAGCGAGAGCGCAGACAACATGAGGAGAGGGCAGCAGACCCAGCCGCACAGTTCACACACCACGAGACGGCATCCACGCAAGGAAGGCACACAACGCCAGCAGCCACCCACCATGCAGGAGGAGAAGACATCCACCACCATCTCCCCCAGCTCATTCCCGCAGCCCCAGGGAAATGGCAAAAACCCCGCGGCCACCACACAACGCACACGGAGCAAGCGAACCCTCATCCATCCATCACGCGGCACTAAATTTCCTGCCATCCCGCCATCAATGGGACACGGAGCCCAACTCAGCGCAGTCACACGCGATGCATCACACCCACAGGAAAATAATCTCGGGCTGCGCTCCCTCTCTCCCTCCTCCTCATGGCCACGGAAGAAGACAACAGCCGCCACACGCAACTGCCAGCATGCACTACAAAAGGTGCATTCATATCCACTGCAATGTGCATCTTGTGTGTGTGTGGTTGTGTGTGCCTGCAGCAACACAAAGCAAAGACGTAGAAAAGAGGGAGCAGAGTATGTGGAGGGACGCACAAAAATGTACAGCGGAGACGCATAACGGAAACAAGAACAAGAAGACCGCTCAAACTCATGACTGCACTGCAGCCCAAGCAGTGGCAATTCACACAATATTTATTGAAAACAAAAAAACGTCCCCTTCGTCTTATGTAAACCCCATCACACAAAATAATTATAAATGAAAAAGAAATCGTCCATTACTGCTCCACACATTTTTAAAATAATAAAAAAATCGCCTGGCTGCCGTGTGGCCACACCAAACTGTCTGTATGTATTTCGCCCACAAAAGAAAATTAAAAAGATGGTTGCGTGTGCTTCAACCGTCCGACCCTCCATGTGTCCGCACATCGTTTATATTTCATGGGGTCATCCGCGTGTTGCTGCTCCCCTCAGCCCTCTCATCGGCGCGTGAGTGCGGCCCGCAGAGCACAGTCACTCGTGTGTGTGGGGACTGAGAGAAGCACGCAGACATGACGGCAGTCGCGTCACTCCATCGGGAGAGTGAGCGCAGCAAAAGAAAAAGAAATCATCGGAGGGGAGAGAAATGCTCACGAGGCCGACACCGAAGGGTGCGCCACCGCATGAAATAAACACGCAAAGAAAAACAAATCCTTAAAGAAAAACACGGCGGCAGGGTGTGGCTGTGTGTGTGGCGCTGCGGGTGTCTGCCCGCCCTGGACGCAAGAAAACAAAACAAGAGGGAAGAAATGTGTGCTCCGCCCCACAGGCCCTCGTCGCACGCCCACACATCACGGCTCCCGCAGCGCGCCGTTCGTCGCGGCCCCGCCTCATGCGTGCAGCAGGCGAGGCGCACAGGGCCGTCGTCATGAGCGTGTCGGTGGGTGTGCGAGTGGAGCAGTTGGGCGGGAAACACACGGCACCCCTCGCAGAAAGAGTGCAGCAACAAACAATTAAAAGAGGGAAGAGTAGAAAAGAAAACACGTCCATAGTGACTGCCCCCAAAAGCAAAAAAAAAATGGGGATATAAAACGCACAGCAAAGCAAACAACGAATAATAAAAGGTTATTAAGGAAGATAAATTAATTACCGTGATTCGGTGCTGGGGAGGTCGCAAGTGTCCCACGCGGCAGCCAGTCACTCCTCACAGAGTCGCAAACCCCCACAGTCCCAACAGAACAAGAAGAAGTGGCAGCAGTCCGCTCCCGCACACAGTGCCGGCATCGCTGTTATTCCCCTGCGAGACATTTCCGAGGCTGCTGCTGAGTGCTGCAGCATTCACTTCCCCGTTCTGTGGATGGATCTCCTCCTTCTGCCCATCCGTTCCTTCCGCCGTCTCCACCGTTGGGTCGCCATCAGAAAAAGAACCGCCATCCACATTTTTAATTCCATCGAAAGATTCTTCTGACGCCAACGGGGTTGCAGGCCCCTCTTCTCCTGAGGAAGTCGTGGCACTGGACACTGTTGATGCGGATACACCGTTCACACCATTGCTCCCCAACAACTGTCTCTGTTCCTCCTTTCCTTGGCCACCAGGAGGCTGAATCGCGGTTCCCTGAGAAGGCTCATTCACCTGAGATGGAGTAGGGGCTTTATTCGGGTTGAGGGTGGCGATCTCAGTGTCATCCAACGGGCGGTTGTACAGCAGGACGTTCGTCACAGTCACAGAAACGTCTTTGCTGTCTGCGTTTTCTTCATCCCCTCCAATGTAGAAGTGGGAGATCTCTTTCAATTCTGCGTCCCTCATTTCACGTTGCTCACCCATACACACACGCTCACCATCGACATACACGGAGCCTTGGGTGCCGTTCCGTAGCACAATGGCCAATTGGCGTGTTTTCCCTGGCTCCAAAGCGCTCTTAAGCTCCTTAGGCGTTTCGTCACCGCAAGACAACTCCCACTTACCTCCGCCGTTGTACGACAGTCCCAGGAGTACAGTCTTCCCGCTGTCATTCATCTTCACACCCATCAAAGGGACGCTGCCACTCGTCGGCACACCGTCGATGGACACCGTCGCCACAAGAGTGAAGTTGTAGTTCGCAAAGTGGTACAGCTGATTCTCCCCCTGACTGCCAACGGGCCACTCCGCCCACGCCCCCTGGAACTTCACACCATCGGAAGTCTTTGTTGCCCCTGTCTCCCCATCACCATTGTTCTTCACTGTGGCGTTCACCCCGAGGTACTCGTCCCTCCATGTCTTATTAGAGAAGTTGCCGGACAGAAAGCCAACCAGCCCATCCGTGATCTTAACAGTAGGGCTGCAGGCATCGCCAGTTAAGGCATCCTCCTCAGCACTTGAGGGGCACAGCTTGGAGACAGTGTCGTCCGCTTTCTTCCACGTCGCCAGCGCATCCTTCACCCGCTGCAGCTGCTCAGTCAGAAGCACAGACCAAAGACTGTGTGATGGTTTTTTTCCATCGCCCTTCTTCTTCTCGTACAGTGCAATCAACTCCTCCTTCTTCTTGTCTCCACTTCCAGCACTTTTGTACAACAGGGAGCTGGCGGCAGCGTCATCATCGGATACCGGCCCAATATCAACAATGTGCGCATTGTCCGTCAGCCAAAGATGGAGTACGCCCTTTCCATTGCCTCCTGTATCAGCCTTCTCGGGATACACCGGCAGAGTGACGAGCATCACATTTTTCTTATCATCATCGCCAATCGTCGCTGTGATGAACCCGCTTCTAACGGCCTTCGCTTCTCCGTCCTGTTTGTTGCCCCACACGCGCGAGAGTGTCCCGAGTGCCTCCGTCCACGACTCCCCCTTGTCACCGGACTCGTACACCCTGCGGCGGCCATCATCACACGCAGTCATCATCATGAGTTTTTTGTCCTCCTTCTCTCCCCACTCCACGACGGAGGGATCACCGCAGCCACCGTCAGTAACCTCCTTCGATAACTTCCAATTTGCAGCGTTATCCTCCGAAGTGTATATGAGCAGCGAAACGGTCTTTTCATCTTTTTGTGCGTCACCCTTCTTCTTCGTGCCTTCCACTGGGAACAAAATCGTACCGTCCTCCATCCGAACACCCGATCCACCGCTGCCAATCAGCTGCGTCAAGCATTTGTGTTCATCAGCAGAAAAGGTGCCGACCAGTCGCTGGTTCTCATTCCATTGGATTCTTTTGCCACTTTCTTCACTGACGTTCCCTTTCACCAGCAAGAATCCCCAGTTCTCGGCACCATTCTTCGGAGGACCAACAACAGCTGTCTGGCTGTATTTCCCAACAAGCATGTAAATATCATTTCCTTTCACAACTGTTGTTGGTCGGCTCACATCCACTTTCTTTGGGTCTGCGGAACCTTCTTCCTCCAGAAATTGTGTCTTATCTTCGGCTCCATTTAGCACTTCCACTGGTGTGTTAGCAGTTTGTGTAGTGATAATTTGGGAAGCAATGCCAGTAACGGTGACGCTTTCACTGTTCTTTTTGCACTGCGCCTCGGCGACGGCAAATACGTCACTTCCCACTTTTAGAAGACCGGGAGCACCCAACGATTCCACAGTTACACCACCACCCTCACCCTTGATGTCCTTCCATTTAAACTTTTTTTGCGATGGCTGCTCCGGAGCTTGCTCAGCCACACCACTGCCGCAGCACATCATCACGACGAAGAGAAGGAGCAGCACCGCAGAGTAGAAGAGATGCCGCGACATGTTGGGCCTCTGCGGCTCACTCTCTCTTCCTTCCCTCCTCCTCCCGCTGGATCCGGTCACGCGGCGACGGTTGTGTGTGCGGGGTGCCTTCACTGCAGCAACACGTGAGAGCATATAAATATGTGTGTGTGGGCGGTGTGTGTGCTGTTGGTCCTTTCAGTGCCTTCGAATTTCACAGTAGCGATTAGCGCTTGTTTGCTTCCTTTCCTTCTTTGTGTGTGAGAAAGAGAGAGAAGAAAAGGGAAAAGAAGTGAAACACACCGCCACCCATCCACAGTGAGTGGCACCATCATCCCCACCGCAGTCACTCCCAACAACAACAACTCACGCACACAGACACACGGAATGAGAAGGAAAAACAGTGCACTGGGAACACACAGCAACTGCCACTGCGGGTGTGTTGTTGTTCTTCCCGCGTCAGCATATCTTCAAAGCCCACACACGCTGCCGCCAGTCGTTTTACTGTTGTCTCTCCCCTCATCCTCCATCGCACATCGCCCCGCACAGCCGGAGAATCCTCCGTCGGTGTATGAACAGCGCGAGAAACACGTCGGCACGTGCAGCTGCCGGGAAAGAATCCATGCCCACTTATCCCAGGCACCCTCAATGACACAACACATTAGTCAACTGCTACACGCCAAGATAATCATGCCCTTAGCACAGAAAACAAACAAATCGCGTTCTCCCGTCATCCCTCCTCGCAAGGGTCACAGAAAAATCGTGTGCGTGCGTCCTCTGTATCACGCCCGCTCTTAACGGGTGC